TTGGTTTTGACATTTGGAAATGTGTTAACATGAGATTTAACTGAGCACAGATAATAATGTTGAAGAAAGATTTCAGTGGTTGAGAATAAGACCTAGTAAATATGTATGAGTATATGTCTTACTAATACTATATTTCTTGCATTAGGACACTCACAGGGCTGTGACAAATTTATCAGATGAAGTTTCTAGTGAGGAGGGGCCTGAAACTGGGTATTCTTTACGTCGCAATGTAGACCGTGCTTCTAGTGATTGTATACTTCGAAACAGGAAATCTCACCATTATAAGAAACACTATCCCCTGGAGGTATGGTTTTTTCCATTGCTTCTTTTCTGTAAGTTGTTAAAACCTCTTGGTTTCTTATTGAATAGAATTTTCCTCAAATCCTTTTTCTTCTATATTGGATTTTAGGAGTCTGTTAACTGGAAGTCATGCTAGTGGGGGACAGGGATGTTTTGCTTTCTTTTTTTTAAGACTAACAATATTTTGAAATTAAGAGGGTTTTTATTTAGTTGGTTTGAGCTTCCTCTTATTTTTCCATTCGCTGCAAGGAGCCTAAATGTATTCCATAGATCTTACGTCAGGTTATGGCCAATTGTTGCTGTCTCTTGACACCAGTTATCTCCTCTGGAAACTTGATTTGTTACAGAAACACCAGTAATTGGCAATATGCAAATTTTCATCATTCTAGTGCTGCTGTTTCTTACCATTTAATTATTCTTTGGATCAGTAGCCTTCTTGTGGAGAAGTCTGATTGACTCCACCTCTGAGTTTTCATTCCTTCACATTTATTGTAACGATCATTTAAAATATTGTCAGGAAATCTCAACAAAGTTGTTAATGCGTAAAAATATAGAAATGTTAAGAGACTTGATGACACTGTAGCTTAGAAGAGGGGAATTCATAGATTCCATATTAGCAGAGTCCTTAATTATAAGGACTCAGACATTGAAAACAAAGGGATATGTTATGTATGTGCTTTTATTGATTTATAATTTTAAATAAATTACGGTCTTTTTTGATAGTGGTATGTAACAACAGCTTTATGGAACATGTTTTTAAAAGGCTGTATTGCCATTTTTACATGAGGCCTGTGAGAAAAGAGCATAAAGAGTAATTTCAGCTCTGACAAAAGTTCGCTTACACATGGGTTTAATAGGCAGAGCCTCAAGAGCAAGCTTTCTCCTTTATATAAGAATGTCTCCTTAGACGGGTTCAGATACTGCTTTCTCTGACAGCAGTTGCAAAGACCTGAAGTTATTGCTTTGCATAAAACCATTATTAAATAATCTTCTATTCGTCTAGGGAAGACTGGGTAGATATCTTCAGAAGCTGAAGAGACAAAATTTGCTCCATGTGTAGCTTTGGCAGTAATATTTTATACTTGTTCCCCATTTACTTAGATAAGTGCTGCTGTGAAAGAGGAAGCTTCTCTTTGTTGTTACCAACTCGCCTCCCCCACACAATTACAAAGGAAATGAAACAATAGTTTTCAAATCTGTGAAAGCTTTCTTTGTATTTAGAAAAAAAATAAATTAGTGAAGTCAGTGGATATACTCTCAACTCGTGTCCTACATTTTCTTTTATAATCATGTTTACTTGTCCACTTGATTGGTGTTTGAGCAAGCTTTTTCAGTGTTCTTTCTTTGTTAACTGCAGGAGTCAGTGGTACCCAATAGTGACTTTATTTATTTATCTAATTTTGGGAAGAAAAAAGTAGCTCAGACTTTCTGCATTGATGTTATCCTTCACTTTGTAAAATAAAGGTTGAGAGTTCAGACCAAATTTTTTCTAAATATTTCTTTACAAAATTGTTTCTATAAAATACATTAAGCATGGTTTTCAGGAAGAACAAAGGACACTTCTTCAGATAGTAATACATTAACATCATATTAAATTAGTACAAATTGCTTGATTTATTTTTTTTCAGGGTAAAAATTGTGTATATTCTCAAAACTAGTAGAAAGAAAGAAATTTTGTGTAAGGTAGAATGGAAATTTCCAGAGGATAGCGATAAGTAGGGTGGTACTGCTCTTCAGTCTACCTGCCTGTCTTTTAGGAAATGGATTGTGCTTGCTGTAGAAAGTAGTTGAAAGATCTGCATTCTTGTTCTGAAGTCAGCATTGGATTGTTTCATATGTATGCATGGGCAGATTTGAGTGTCCAAACATAGTATTTTTCTTTCTTTATCCAAGATATGGTTAAAATTTGAGCATAGGGCATGCTTGTTTCAAGTACAGTTTTATGTACGACTATGTAAATTATACATATACCTAGCATTAGCTGTATATATCTTTGCTTATTTTTCCTCTCTATACCTGATGCATAACTGTCTTCAAACAAGCTCACTCTCTTTGAGAAGGTATGTTAGTAGTAACAATGGGAAAATGTGATTTCCAGAGGCTCTTAGATCTACAAATGTACTCCTGGAACTTACCAACCTTTCTTTTAAAACTAGTTAAATTATGTCCACACTGCTTACTTGAAAGGCTGTTTGAGTGCCGCAGGTCTTAGATGGCTAGAAATATCTGCTCTTCCTCTAGGGCCTTGTCATTTCTAGAGAAAGAATTCCTTACTGTATGGAGAAGTTAATAAGTAGCTAAAGTACTTCAGCTCAAACAACTAGAGACAGAAGATCCAAATATCAAATTAATTTAAAATACATTCTGAATGATGCTTTTCTCAAACTCAGTCACGTTTCTTCATTACAATTGCAGTCTCATGTATATGGCTTTAAGCCTCCAACATTTTTCACATTTTCACAAAAATAGTGAAGCTGTAAAGTGTTTTAAAAGAGGCTTAATTTATAGCATATAAAAGCAGAAGTTTGAGATGTAGTTGGAGTCTGTAGCTTTATAATTGCTGTTAAAGTCTAAATGGATGAGTTCTAGAAAATCTGTAAAATAGTTATTTCCTTATTATAGTTGATATGGTTTGATTCCTCATAATGTGACCCCCTTCCCCATCACAGCAAGGACCATGGATTGTTACCTGTTTGTACAGTGTCTAAAAATGTGCAACCTCTTAGACACTCATTCAATAAACTTGTAATTCTTTCTGATGAGAAAGATAATGGATTGGAATATAAAAAGCCAGATAAACATGGATTCACTAATTTGAACTTTAACTGTTCTCTCGGGGAACAATGTAGAATAAAACAGCGGCTTTAATTCCAATGGATATTTTAATTTCAGGATACACCTAAATCAGGTACTAGCTGCAGTTCTCGGTGTTCAAGCTCCAGACAAGACTCTGAGAGTACGAGACCAGAATCGGAAACTGAAGATGTGCTGTGGGAGGACCTCTTACACTGTGCAGAGTGCCACTCTTCCTGTACCAGTGAGACAGATGTAGAAAGCCCTCAAGTGAATCCATGTGTCAAGAAAGAGTACAGAGATGACCCGTTTCATCAGGTTGGTATCCACCAATTCTGATTTCTCTTTTTTGCACTACACAAGTTCAGTATTATCAGTTCTATCATATGCCAGGAGGCCTGAGAGGAAGAACTCTACTTTAAATGAAAGTTACAAAGCTAAAGTGATTTGATAGAATTGAAACAAGGAGAATTTGATTTCTGCTATTCAGTCATTAATTTGTCAAATGAAGAGGAAATAGCCTGTAGAATATTTGAGTGTTTGAATCTGTGTTCTAGTTCAGGACGAGTACTGATTGTTTTAAGTTTCCTGTGTGGTGTAGACGGTTCTGTTCTATTTTGCTCTTTTCTCCAGTGAAATTGCTTTTTCATGAGGACATATCAGACGTCTTTCTATTTGCTTATATATAAATGTATCTATAAACCAGCAAATAGATAAAATAATATCTAATGTGTATATATATGTATATATAATGTGTATATATGATGTTATATGTGGGTTGAGTATGTCTAAACTCAATTTGGATATAATCTTTTTATTTTTACCTTAAAGCTAAAAATTTAATTCACCTTATTTAATGCTATTCTGTAGCAACATATAGGCAGTCATTTCTGCAAATTTAAGTGTTTGTTGGGCAACACTTCAATTGCAGCCTGCCTTGGGTTAATGCTGGACACAATCCATTGTTAATAGTTGAACATTAACAAACAAGTATTAGTCTTCATTTGATAAAATCCATTTAGATGTCACAGTGCCAGTTATGCAAGTCCTATCTTTAAATTGTATGTTAATTGCATTGCTAATATGAAGCATTTAAGTGAAGAGATGGAGAAAATGTGGAACATTCTTCTGGGTAAACATGTCATGTGTTGGTAGCCCATCATCAGTACTAAGGACTGCCATGCAAGAGGTGGTGGTAATGCTACCTAAGGAACAGGATTTCGAAAGGCATGCTTTTCACTTACAACCAGAATTGAAGATGATGTATTTGTTGATTTTAAAAAACATCCCTTCACCCCTACAGAAAAACAACCTCAAAGAGACAGCAATTTGGATTTCATGCAGTCTTTGCCTTTTTGATTTATTTTAGTTGTTCTTGTTACATTCCATATAAACACTAAATTAGAAACCTTACAAGAGGGAGATGAATTGCAGTATATGCATTGACTTGGCTTTTCTGTAATTGAGTTTGTTTCTGTTTGATGGTAGATTGTGAAATTTTTGTTTCAGCTCCTGGTGTTGATACTCCCTCTAGAGGGAGACCTTGGAAATCTGTGGTTAAGAAAGTCCTGCAACTAATATGTGCATTGTTTTAATAATATAAATCAATGGGGGAAAAGGAGATAATTGAATACTGAGCAGAATACAAAGATTTCAAATAAATACTGATAAAGCAGGTATAAAATAAAAAGCTTTATTTTCATCAATTATAAATTAAAATTTAAAAATAATATCATGACCCAGCGTCCCCCTCCCCAGCACCACCACTTCCAGTAGTTTGATACACATAGTGCTAGCTGACCAGGCAGAGTTGAGAGCAGTTTTAATCACCTGAATGGCAGAGGAATGAGACAGGGCTGAGGGAAGTCAAGAGATGTCTGCAGCAGAACTTGTTGCCTCAAGATTTTTCCAGATCCTTTAGTTCTCATTTGGCTCTCTAAAGGTGCCTCAGCCATAAGTGCATTCAGTGGATCAGGCTGGGACTGCGTGGCTCTTGAAGCAGCGTGTATTGATGGCCCAGAGGAGGGCCACGAGGATGATTAGAGGGCTGGAGCACCTCCCTTATGAAGACAGGCTGAGAAGGTTGGGGCTGTTCAGCCTGGAGAAGAGAAGCTGTGTGGAGACCCCATAGCAGCCTTCCAGTATCTGAAGGGGGCCTACAAGGATGCTGGGGAGGGACTCTTCATTAGGGACTCTAGTGGTAGGACAAGGGGTAATGGCTTTAAACTTAAACAGGGGAAGTTTAGGTTAGATCTAAGGAAGAAGTTCTTTGCAGTGAGGGTGGTGAGGCACTGGAATGGGTTGCCCAAGGAAGCTGTGAATGCTCCAACCCTGGAGGTGTTCAAGGCCAGGCTGGAAAGAGCCTTGGGTGACATAGTTTAGTGTGAGGTGTCCCTGCTCATGGCAGGGGGGTTGGAACTAGATGATCTTAAGGTCCTTTCCAACCCTAACTATTCTATGATTCGACTCCTGCCACAATCTCTGAGTCTTGCAGATACAGTTAACATAGGGAGGCCTTCATTCATAAAAAGTATTATGAATTACACAAATATCATTAAATCCAAATAAAAAAAGAACTATTGGCCTTAGGCTCAACCTGACAAGAGTACGTTTTAGAATGTTAGGGGGGAAAAATAATAGAAATAAATAAAATATTCCATAAAACGTGTGGCAAAATTAAATATGGCTTTTAAGTAGACCTTTGTTTTCAAACCTCTCTCTTCTTTGATAAGTTTGATCAAAAAAAGAAGCCAATTAATCCTCAACAACAATAACACTATTGGAAAATGAAATATGGTGAAGGAGAGATCTCTGTACTCACAGCTGTTTCTTGGAGAAGTGGGTGATTTTGAGGAATATTGTTAACATATAGTAGAAGTAAATGAAGTAAATGCTATATAATAGTATTTGTTTTAGACTAGAGTGGTTTTTTTTGTCAGCATATTGCTGACACATGCATACTGACAAGACAATAGATTTTTATCTCTGATGGAATATATTCTTTGTCTTTCCCAGAGTCATTTGCCTTGGATCCACAGTTTGAATCCAGGACTAGAAAAAATAAGTGCAATTGTATGGGAGGGCAATGACTGTAAGAAAGCAGATATGTCTGTGCTTGAAATCAGTGGCATGATAATGAACAGAGTGAGTATTCCTTTTACTTTATGCAAATACTGTATTTAGGAAATACAGAAATAATGTTGTTGTTTTGCTGGGGGGGGGGGTTGATTTGG